TCTTCTTGAAACCCTCCTGTGACCAAGAACTCCATTTTTAGAAAATTCTCCCCTTTATTTACAAAAATCTTCCTCCCTATAACCTCTATCCATTGGTTCTAGAGCTATGTTTGGTATAGAGAATAAACCTGCCAGAATTTTAAAAGCAGCTGATAACAGCTATTATGTTCCTCTTCTAAATTACTTCTTGTAAGCTGAACATTCCACCAAACACTATGATGACAAATAAGATAACATATATGAAACATATTATGGGAAGAAGTGAGAGATGTATTCAGTAATGATACCTATTATTATTATCATATACTGGTACACCTTAACTTCTGACAAGAGTCCCCATCTACCTTCTGTGCAAGGATCACATGAAGGAGCTCCTTTGCCACTGATTAAAATTAGACTTTACTCCTCATTCTTTTAAGTTCAAATAGTTTTTATTATCTATCTACCTATTTATTCTTAGAGAGAAGGAAAGGGAGACAGAGAGAGAGAAACACTGACACACATCCCAACCAGGGACTGAACCCACAACCCAGGCATGTGCCCTGACCAGGAATCAAATCAGCAAACTTTGGCTTTGCAGGACAGCACCCAACCACTGAACCACACCCATCGGGGGTTAAGCTCTAACACTTTTTAAAGCCAACTTTGTACCTGTTTTAGTCGATTCCTTCTGTATCAAACTAATTGCATACACAATTCATTCAACTCCCTTTCACTAATTTAATCTCCAAACTTCCCTCTTGGGAAACACATTTCACAAATACCAATTAACCTTTCTTGAACTATACAGAAATTCCTGTTCAAATTATTATCTATAGTGTCCCATACTTTGTGCTGCGCTGAACCTATGTTCACTCTTCCCAAAACACCTAATTTCTATACATCTTTCAAGGTTCAGCTGAGAGATCACTTCTTCCAGGATTTTTTCTATGACCAATCCACCCACACCCCAGGCTGGGTTAGGCAATCTTTAAGCTTCCAAATTGGCACCCTGTGCATACCTTGAAAAAACACTTTCTGTTTTATGCTGTTACCTATCACTAATGTAAGGCTCCTTCACAGACACACTAGAGAAATTCATGGTCTAGCACACAGTCAAGTTGTTCAAAGAAAAAAAGCTTCATTTCAATTCTTAAACAACATAATAAAATTTAAGTATATCTGAACACACTCCAAGTCACCATTCTTAGGTATTCTGCTTGAAAATGTGAGAGGTTTTATGAAATCCTGCTATTCTCACCAAATAGCAAGGAATTTTTTAAAAACACACACCTTGAGCCCTGGCAGGTTGGAACATCATCCTATACACCAAATGTTGTGGGTTTGAACTCCAGTCAGGGCAACCAATGTTTCTCCCTCTCCCCCCATTCCTCTCTAAATCAATAAACATATTTTTAAAATATACATATTCACACAACACACACCTTGAGTTGTTGTCACTAATCGTATCTTCTCTAGGTCTTTCTCCCCACTCTGCCATTATTCAAAAAAATATTATGTACCCAAGTGCCTGGTTAACATTGGGCTAGATTTTAAGAGAATTATACAGTTGCCACTATTCTTATTTTTAACTACAGTCAAAAGGCTAGAAATTTAAGACAAAAACTAAACCAAATGTTATGTTTACTAAAAAATTATCATTATTCCAAATAATGCCAGACTATTCCAAAATTGAGGCAAAGGGAGTTAACTCACTATTATCTTCATGTTATCAGCTAACAATAATTCTCTCAACTTTTTCAGAAAGAAAAAGGCTCACATGGATATAGCACGGCCAAACCTTCAAAAAGCATACATCCTTTGACTCAATAGTAACACTAAAAGGCAGATGTCAAGCAATCTTTACATCAAAGATTGTTCAAATGCTATTTTAGCTGGAAAAAAATTAAAAAGCTGACATTCAACAATTAGGAATTGATAAATTACAATGTATCTATGATAAAATACTATGAAGTCATCAAAACTAATGTCACTGGAGAATATTTTAACAATTAAGGAATGGTTCTGAGCAAATGCAGGTTACAAATTGTATCTGAAACATACAACAAAGTAGACCATATATCTACGATGTCAGAAGTTTCAAGACAGATAGCTCCAATGCATGAAGGATCTATGATACCGAATTACATCATACGACAGAACAAGTCAGTAATAATGCTAGGCAAAAAACGACAGAACAAGTCAGTAATAATGCTAGGCAAAAACAGCTATAATTCTGCTTCAGTGTGTTCTGCCAAGATACATGCCTAATCTCAAAACTCTGCAACAGCTGTGACATCATTTTCAGGATGAAGTTTAAGTATTTCCCTATGTACTGAGTTACTGTGCCCATTTGGCATAAAAATTTTTTGCAGTCTTGTAAATACAAAAGCGCACACACAAACACCCAACCTAAGGAGGTCTCTCTACTGCCTCAACAAGCTATCGCTCCCATTCTCATAAAACTTGTTTTGTCTTGGAAGCCTAATAAAGACTGAAGTTTACAGTCACTTATGTAAGGATATTAAGGATAACAGTGGGAAACAGAAGAGTAAGGTAATATACTGACTGAAATGGTAACTGAGTTTAGAAGTAATCACAGGGACCTTCCTGAAAGCCCAGAAAGCATTTCTTACAGGAGGTAAACTAAAAAGTAATCTGACAAAAGTATAATTGAAGCTTTTCTTTTCCCCTTGGTGGTTTTGTTCACCTGCCTGAGAACGATTAAAATAAAGATCTTTACAGAATAGTTTTAAGAAAGATGAATCAGTTAATAAAGACCAAAATATTATTTAAATGCACTTTATGAAAACATCATAGGACTAGTCAATTCCAAAATATAAATCTTATACCTATTTATAAAGTTCAATTATCATACACTAAACCACTCAAGTGACTTTAATACAAATACTTTGACTAAAAGTTTACATAAATAGTCCTCAAATTTGCTACTTCATTTCTAAACCAAAGTTTCCCCATGATTTCTAACACATACCAGTTTATCTTAGCATCTACAGTGTGCATCCCTAAAAATACTCCTCTCTCTTCCTTTCTGCTTTTAATCACAAGATGTAAGACAGAACTTTGCAGATGAAAGAAAGCATACTGATGATATGAGAGATTATCCAGCACCTGGACACCCCTCCCACATACTAAAAATCTGCCATGCCACTACATGGTACCTAAAAGGTCATGTCTACCTTCCTTGTACTTCTAGTAACAGGAGCCTGTGAAGACATCTTTAGTGTGTTTGAGATGTCTGGCAAAAATGACCAGTACACAGTCTTTTTCTACAAGATTACAGAAGAATTTACATTAAACTGTTAAAACTTGGCGGAAGACAGGGGCGTTTAAAGGACTAAAAAAGGGGAAAGTTTCTAACAGCCAACTTTTCAGTAATCTGGCTCTATATCCCCAATACTTTTGGCATAACTGACAAGTGTATCTCCATTTATTTGTCTGTACACACTAGAATATAAGGCTGAAACTATCCTAACTTTAGTTGAACAACTATGCACCTCTGGTTCTGTGTTATGGAGGTGAAAAATCAACCAAAGACCCTCCTCTCACTGCTCAAAGGAGTAAGTTTTTATAGAGCCGTAACAAACATCTCAGATTCTAGATCAAATATATAAGCTCTCTATGAATTCATAACAAATCTAATGAAAATATATTTACATAAACTTTTTAGGTTTGTTTCTGTTTTTTATTAAATTTATCAGGGGTGACATCGATTAATAAAATTATATAAGTTTCAGGTACACAATTCTATTATACATCTTCAGTATACTGTATTATGTATTTACCACCCCAAGTCAAATCTCCTCACATCACCATTTACCCCTGCATTCCTCTTCTACCTTCCCACCACTGGGTTTGATTTTTATTTTACATTCAAGACTAACCATTCAGGGTTCTCTCAAATCATTTACAGATTTTTCTTTAATTTCCTCCTTGCCCATAATCGTTCCCCCTAATTCCTACATTTAAATATGTCTAAGTCCACCCCTGGCTGGTATGGCTCAGTGGACTGAGCACCAGCCTGTGAACCAAAGGGTCATCAGTTTGATTCCCAGTCAGGGCACATGTCTGGATTTCGGGCCAGGTTCCCCCGGGGGCGCTTGAGAGGCAACCACACATTTCTCTCTCTCTCTTCCCTCCCTCTCAAAAAATAAAATCTTTGAAAACAAATAAGTACATCTAAGTCCTATATAAAATATGATCTGCCCCAACTAGTATTTTATCATTCTCTTATGGTCCTGAAGTTTATATTCACTCCACACACACACAAGGATCAAGCATTACCAACTCTCAAATAAATTCAACTCTACCCAAGATCCCCACTTGGTGCAAAGGAAACAAGAGAAAGCAACTCTTTAGGAATACAATAAAATATTAAGAGCAAGAGGTCAGCCTTTTCTTCTAATGATCCATTTTCCAAGTTTTATTTAATAAACATTTTACTTTTCCAATGGGAAAAAGGTTTTGAAAAAAAGAAAGAATACTAAGGATAGAAGCAAGAAAGTTCTTAAAAACATCCTCTTAACACTGCCAGTTGTCAAAAGGCAGGCTAAAAGATGTCAGAGCTTGGTGACATACCAACTCTCGGGGGAAAAAAACACAGTACCCATTAGGCCAAAAATTCCAAACAAACTTGTATCTTTTCTCTCTGCCTTACTACAGCCTCAAACTTTTCCTACTTTAATTTCTCTGGTATTATCACTTCAATCATTCCCTTTCAATTTCTTTCAGACTCATTCTTCACCTCTTTCTGCATCATGTAAATTCATTTCTCTACATTTCTTTTCCTTTAAGCCTACATTTGTATCCTCCATTAATGTTCCCACATTCCTTCACACTAAGGTTCATACAGTAGATCACACTCCCACATAAAGGATTGAACTAATTCAGTGATATTTGTGTTATTTACAGAGCTTTTATTATTCAAAATAATACCTCTCCTGTTCTCTCTAGTTCCTTCCCCTCTTCCCCACTAAAAGTCTTAATGGTAAGCTGGTTACCTTTTTAACACTTTCTTCTTCCTCTTGGCGTTTCTCATAGTGTGAGAAGTCATCAAAAATGGAAGTGGTGTGCTTGTAGCTGGCTATGATTTTCAACACCTGCTTAGCCTTTTCCAGAGGCACTTCCTGAGTGTCCCTGGAGTTGGTCACTGGTTTATTCTCGTTGTTCTCTAGGCGAATGTGTCGCAGCTGGCTATTGGGAACGTCCTTCACAAAAATCCACCGGACATCAAAACGCCCCTTCCATTTGTCCTGGGACCATACACCTGCACACGTGTTGTAGTCCACAGCTGATTTCATTTCTGCAACGCCACAGAAGTGTCCACTGCCGTTGACACTGAAAAGTAAGTAAACGGGGCCTTTCCCGTTCATGGAGCGATAGGCAGCATCCAGTCTCTTGTTACCATGCTCTGTGCTGCACCAGATATTATACTTAATGGAACGGTGGATATCGTCCTCAGAGTAGCTCTTAATGATGAAAACCCGGCCATGTTTCAGATTCCAGTCAAAATCCTTGGGGTTATAGTTATTAATGGACCGTAGCTTCTCCAACACTGGGTGAGGTTCTGAAGGAGTAGATCCAGATCCAGCCTGAGACTGTCCTACTCCATTACCATCCACCCCATTATGACCAAACCCACTGCCACGGTTCCGAGGTGCTACCCAGCGGGTTGGCTGAGCTGCCTGTTGCTGGACTGAGAGCTGGGCAGGCTGTGGTGGAGGTGGGGGCAATGGCTGTGTCTGTTGCCCTACTGATGTCTGAGCCACTGGTGGGCTAGTGTTAGCCTGCTGACCTACAGGTTGGGGAGACCCCTGGGTTGGCTGCTGACCTATGTTCTGAACCAAAGCCTGTGAGGGGGCTTTTGCCACAGGACCCTTGTTATCCCAAGTTCCAATATCCATGTTATGCTTTATTGGGGGTGGTGGAAGACTTGACCCTGCAATGCCATTCTTGGTCTTCAACTTAGGTTGTTGTTTAGCAGGCTTGCTAGCTATATCAGCCCAAGATGCTGGTTTTGGAGGAGCAATAGTAGCTGGAGGCAAACTATTAGAAGCCACGATGTTACTAGTAATGGACCCACTACCAACAGCAGAGCCTACAACTTTTGGAACACTGCTTGCAACTTCTGTGCTACCCAACTTCAGTGCTGCCATCCCTTGGTCTATAGTATTCATGCCAGGAGCTTTATTGAGGGTATCGCTGGCAAAAGCTGACTGTCCATCAATCATGGCTCCACCTAAGGAGCTAGGTGCATAAGCATAATTGCTACTGTATCCAGAGCTCTGAGTAGACTGTCCCTGAGAACTGTTATTTCCCCAAGCTGAGAAGTCAATACCACTGGGAAAGAAATTAAAACCATGCTGACCAAGAAATGGAGTGCTACCAAGGGCTCCTGGTTGTCCAAACATTGCATCTGGTAGGAAGTGAGGCTCTCCGTTGCTCAGTTGTCCATAAGATGTTAGATAGGGCATCGCTGTGTCACCCCCTGTAGACCAAGCAGCTTCACCCAAAGAATAGGAGAAGCCAATGGAGGGACTGTAGTAACTGGGTAAGTAGGAATCTGACATAGCAGTATATGCATTATTCTGTGGAAGGAAAAAAAAAAAGCAAATCAACACTACACATAAAAATAAATAAAACAATCAGGACATTTCTTCTCTCAATTATTCAAACAATTCAAATGCTTCATCCATTATTATAAAAAAGTAGAGTGACCATTTCAGATGGTCTTGTCCCATAAACTTGCTTCTTCTTTTAAGAAATTTTGAGTTAATTGTAATGTTTAAACATTTAAAGTTTAGCTTACACATAGTTAATGTGGGCCTTAACTTTAGCACCACAATTCAGAAAAGGGAAAAATCCAGCATCTTGACAACAGTTAGTCTTGCTTTGTAAGTGTTGAGATGATGCTTTTATGAAAACCACTATCTTTGGACTTGATAGGGAATTTTGGCAAAACAAAGGAGTGTTCAAGAAGTTTCCTATTAAAACCATACTATAATAGATACAATAAAACAAACAAAACTGGAAATTTCAAATTATATCCCAAAAATCTGTGCAGCCATCAACCATAAACCAAAAAGCCAAGTTCTACCACTGTATTTAAAGAACATAGTGTCTGTGTGTCAAGAAAACTTCTTAAATCATATTATAGTTAACATTTATATGGCATGATTTTATGTATGTTCATAAATCTTTGCTATGTTAAAATATTGGTATGTGAATTTATTTTCAATTATCAAAATATAAAAATACACAAAGACATTTTGGTATATGTCAAATATGATTATGTAAAAAAAAAAAAAAAAACAAGGTTCACTACATCTAGTTTACAGTGGTAACCTCTTGGCAAACTATCTGGGAACATCAACAGATGTCACTATTTAATTATAACCTAGAAAGGAAATATACAGTAGCCTCTAGAGGATTTAAATCTAGAAAAAATGTTGCTACCTGTTCTGCTTCTCCTATAAAACAAATGGCTATAAGCTAAAATGCACAACTAACTTTTCCATTGAAAACAGGAGTATAATTCTAAAGACATCACACAGTCCATTACCTTTAAAAAAGGAATCATCGTGAAGAGTAACCAGAATTATAAACTCATATACAACTATTCTTCATGTTAAAAGGGAGATCACACAGCAAAAATCCTCAATCATTCTTGACCTTACATTAGTTTGTGCTGAAGGTATTTTCACTTTTTTAATAAATCCTATAACTCACAATATAGTCCCCTTAAAATGAGAAGCTAGAGATATACAAAATTGGTCTCTATAGATGTAGATACAGCTCAACTCAACAGAATACTTTACCCTAACTTCAAAATAGCTCTGATATATGAGGCCATTAACTAGTCAAAATACAGAATTTTATTTTTAAGAGACTTGGATGACCACCATTATCTTAGGCCTTAAATTTGTACTACCAAAGCTGAGTGCCTCTCCCTAGCCACTAAAACACATCTCGAAGATTAAATGTTTCCACTAATGTGATCTGAATGGCAGAGCTTTTCTCTGCCAATCTGAATTTTCCTTAAAACAAAGAAAAAAAAACTGTCTTTTCAAAGACTTCTCTTAAAATTAAGAGTATCTCTCAAAGACAGTGTTAATACTTTAACAAACCCAAATCCATTATGTATAAAAAATTCAATCTATAATGATTGGGTTAAGCCTGAAGGATTACTCCAACATAAAATGATGAAAAACTGATTAAAAAGTAGATGAATTACTCTTAAAGATAAATTACCATGGACAAAGATTCTCAGGTTTTCTATTCAACCAGATTTCTATCCCCCTCAATATTTTAAAAATAATGACATTTAAGCTTTAGCTTATTTAAGAAAAAAATAAGCACTTAATACCACAGGTTATGCCATTATATAGCTAAATTCTACACCTGAATCAGCAGGTTCCCACATGCCTGAGCTCAAAAATCTCAATTACACAATGTTTCACAAGAACTACTTAGAATTATATTTCCAAATGCTCCAAGTTTCCCTGTTATAAAGATTATGTAAGCAAACTACTTCAATAGCAGGAACCTATTAATAGTTCATTCCTCTACTTCCTTCCCTACTTTTCCTGATTAACTGGTTGTTTTCTGCAAAAACTTTTTTCCAATCATTGGTTTAAGTGGTTTCTATATATTCAATACAGAAAATTTTACACAATCTAAAAGTTTTATGTGAGAATTACATCCAAATATGGACATATACTAATACATCAAGTTATTCTACACTGTTACACCTATCATACAGCATATCTGTTCAGAATTTATGTAAGTGTTCCATAAGCTGCTGCTTTTAGAAAATTTGGTTGAGTTATTGCCTATTTTCCTTTTGGTTTATTAATCTGAGAGCTTTACTGGCTACAACTTTGTAACTCTGTCTTTGGGAAAGAAAATATTTACACAAAAGAACTGCCACATTAAAGTAGTTTTCATATGTACCTCTAAGCAACTATCTTCACATTACAAGATAGATTACATTGCAAAAACCTCAATCATTCTGGATGTTAACCTGTGGTAAACAGTATTTTATTTTCTTTTAACTCCATTTTGTAAATCATATAGCTCCCTTACGTGAGAATCCAAAGGTAACTACAAAGCTGGTCTCTATAAATGTAGACATAGTTCAACTTAAAAAACAAGTATATAACTCCAAAATAGTTCTAATCTAAGACCCCACTAACTTTAGTGACCAGAGAGGAAGAATACCCAGTTCTGCAGTACTGAGTCCAGTTAAGGTGATTTTTTAATTAGTTTTTTCCATGACATGTGCAACCAATTTTCAGGGAAGGGAAAAAAAAGGTTTGGGGGATGAAAATTCAGAATATTTAAACTGGAAAGGATTAAGTCTGGCATTGTACATTCTTGGTAAAGCAGAATAATTACTCAAACAGGTGTTAACACTAATGCACTATAAAATGTCATCAGAACTAGTCTCGGAGCATATATGTCTACTGACAAAAGATGGAAATCTGAACAGTCTATTAACACTTGTAACAACTTTTTATAACACCCTACTAGAAGAAAGTCACCCCTGAAAATGCAACTTATTCATAGGGAAGAGAAAGAATGGTATATACCCTTTGATCAGGAATTAAATGGTTAAGTACTCACGGGTCTTGCCTGTGGACTCAAGTAAGGTTCAAAATCATCATCATTTAATCCATCCTTTTGATGTACAGATCCATTTTGTACTAAAGGAAAAAATTAAAATTACGAGTGTCTCAATCATACAATCTCCCTCCCAGATTAATCAAATATATCATAACCAGAGAAACTAAGTTTGAATTTCGAAAGAGTAAGGATAAGAGTCAACACTGTGCAGTATTAGTAAAAATGTCTCCCTCCGCGCAGAGCAAGTTGGTCCAAAAAGGTCATTTTACTGGCTCCTCTAGATCTCAACGCCCTCCCGCTCCCCCCCAACCCCGGTCACATGTGAGTACTTCCAGAGTGTAATCCACGAGGATGAAAAACAAAGGCCTTCTAAGACATACAGGAAACTAAGGACCTGAGACATTTCAAAACAGAATCCACCCCCACCCTTAATGAATTACTCCTTGTTCGCTAAAAAGCTGATCGCCAGCTGCAAGAACACGCCGAAAGGGTCAAATACTTAAGTGTGAGGCACCTGCGAACCAAGGGCTTCCCAAAGATCCGCGCCTCCGGGCGCTTCCCGGAGACCCCGCCCCCACGACTCGGCGCCCCCCGCCCGGCCCGGGGCCACCGGCCAAGCCGAGCTCACCTTTGTTTCCTTGACCTTTTGGTCTCTGCGGGCACAGGGAACGTCGCCGAGCAGCAATTGTCCGAGGAAGAAATGGGAAAGGGAAGACAAATTAAAGCCGGACCCGAGAAGGGTATAAAGGAGCAGGCCCGAGGGTAGGCGTCAGGAATGGCAGTGAGAGGGGGAGGCTGTAAACGGGAGGCGGGGAAGAGCGCTAGGCCGGCGGGGCTCGCGGGGAGAAAGCGGGGGGACGCGCCGGAGGCAACGCGAGGGCACCAGGGCTTCAAGGAAGGGGAAGGGAACAAGGGGAAAAACAAGGCCCGCCGAGGAGGACAGCCGGAGCGGGCGTTGGGCGCCGAGGGCCGGGAAGAAGCGGGAAGAGCGGGCTGAGGGCGAGGCGCAGGGCGCGGCCGGCCTGAGAGGCCCGAAACCTGGCCCGCGAGAGGCGCCGCCTCGGCTCGGCCCGACCGGGGGTGGCGGGCCCGGGCCTAGTCGGGCTCCCTCTCTCCTCACACAATGGCCGAGGCATGCGGGCCGGGCCTGTACCTGCTCCAAGAGGCTGCTAGCCGACATGGCTCTCGGATCCTCACAGGTAGCGACGGCGGCGGACTCTCTTCAGAGTGTCGGCGGCGGCGGATAAGCTCCGGCGGCGGGAGCAGGCGGCGCGACGGCGGCTTTTGTCCCTGACACTCGGGGGCCTCGGCGGACGCAGCGGAGACACAGCGCGCGGCTCGGGCTCCGGCTCCGACTCGGCGACGCTCTAGCCCCAGAACGCAACGCCCGTCTCTATGCCTTTACGCGCGCGCGCGCCCGCCCCTCGCAGCCGAAATAAGGGCGCGGAGCGGCGGCGGCGCACGGCGAGCGCGGCGCGACGCTGACTCTCACATTCACTCATCCACGCGGAAGGGTCCCGGCGCAAAGCACCTCGAAAAGGACGAGGCGGGGCCGCAGCGCCCTCTGGCGGGCTGGAGGAGCGGAAGCGGCTCCTACCCGCTCCCCGCCCCCACCGCCTCGGGGTTGGGGCCTAGGAAGGTGGGGACGGCTGGGTTGCACCACGAGGTTTTTAACTAACACCTGGAGAGAGTGACTTTGACTTTAGCTTCAGAAAGTCCGCAGAAACTAGTCTTTCAAGTGAGGAAGAGACCCCTGAAGCCTGAGAGACCATAAAATAAACCTGCTTCCCAGCTGCAGATGGCACCCCACCCCCATCTAGGGAGGAACCCGAAAAGGGTCACAGAGCCTCCAGGAAAACTTCATGGGGGACATACCTCGGAAAGACACCCCCTCCCCAGGTGCCTGGTTATCCTCCTCTGTTAGCAGACTGCAAAAAAATGTAATAATACTCAGAGAACAAAAACATCCACAAAAATTTGGTCATCTGCAAAAGATAGTCAACCTTTAGCATTGCAGGGAAAAGAATCGACAATTTTTCAGGTTAGTCACTGGCCCCCATAATACTCTGTTAAACTGTGGCCTTTATTTCCAAGAAGGACACACTCACACATCTAAACAAAATTTTTCATGTACTTTCAACAAGTCCAGAGAATCTATAAGTCTATGGACTTCAAAAGGAAATGTCCTTATCTGAGGAAGAAAGGAAATTAATGCTACTTGAACGCCTGCTCTGTGTTAAGTTCTGCTATGTGTTTTCAAAGCCCTATTAAAGGTTTTCAGCATCTTCAAAATACCTGTTATTTGCTACATTTTACAACCCAGGAAACAGAATGTAAGTACTGGGTCCAAGGTCACAAAGTTGTTAAATGTATCTGACACACACACAAATGTCATAGTGTCGCTCTGCCCCCAAGAGAAAACCTGTTTTCAAGAACCAGAATCCAGAGGTGATTAAAGGACAGGCAAAAGCATTTTTAATCAGAGACAAACCAACTTAAGCAGGGATATTTGATCCTAGGACAGCCTGTCTCCTAATAGCTTTTGGAATTGCAAATAGTAGTAAACAGATAAATAATGCACTGTTAAGTATCAGCCTGATACCATCCACTCCCTGGATACAGGAGGCTTTGGTGGACTCAGTAGTAAAATAAATGATACCACAACATACTGGGTTTTGCATCATAAATATGTATCGAGTGCTCGATTCATTTTTTTCTTCCCATAATTGCACTTAAGGTTGGAACGAATAAAGTCAGGCACCAAATGTGACGGGCTTCTGGAAAAGACAGTAAAATGTCAAGTCACAGACCACAGAGCCCACCACAGGAATAAAAGAAATCTAGTAAGCCTTCTTTATAGATACTCAGCCTGGCCCTGGTGAGGTGTCTCAGTTGATAGAAGGAGCATTGTTCCATGCACCAAAAGGGTGCAGGTTCGATTCCCAGTCAGGGCACATATCTAGGTTGCATGTTCAATCCCCAATTAGTACAGAAGGCAACCTATCAATGTTTCTCCCCTCCTCTCTCTCTAAAAATCAATAAATATATCCTTGGGTGAGGATTAATAATAAAAATGATAGCCAGTTAACTCATGCCCTACATTTATGTATAAACTGTAAACAGTTGCCTACACTTACTGCAGGAAGCAGCACGAGATGAAAAACAGAGGACTGACCTGGGAGGGGGTGGGACTAAGTACTGGTCTCCCCACCAGATTTGCAATGTTAAGTAAATTACTAAACTTGCCATTTGATAAATAGCAAAGGGGAATAATATCTTCTTAAAAGGCTTGTTGTGAAGATAAAGTTTTGGGGGTTTTTTTTTAAGATATTAAATAGCCCTGGTCAGCTAGCTTGGTTGGAACGTCATCCTGATATGCCAAGGTTGTGGGGTTCCATTCCTGGTCAGGGCATTTACAAGAAGCAACCAATCAGTGCATAAATAAGTGGGACAACAAATTGATGTCTCTCTCTATATATCTATCAATAGATAAAAATTTAAAATAAATAACAAAAGGAAGACACTAAAGCAAGTCCAGTACATTGTAGATTCCTTCCCTACAATTCCATTAAGGCATGGTAGTGAAAATTCCCTCCCTCCAATGATGAAATTTTTATTAGTTCCTTTGGGATTACTTTCTGTCATCTGGGAGTTGCTATTCTTAGGGGGAAAGGTAATCTCTAAACCTGGATTTTAGTTCACCAGAGTGGCTTTAATAGGCCCCTGAACAGAACACACAAGAGTGATGTATTTACACTGGAAAGAGGGAGAGGAAGTCTGGAGTGTGGGGTGTCATCTTATGCGACCCTCGTGGGTTGAGAAAACAAAACTGTGCTAGCAATGGGTCTGTGTTCCAGTTTCAGCTCTGCAACTGGGTAGATCAAGCATTCAATCCCTCTTTCAACCAGTATTTAGTGAGGGCCAGGCAATGTGCTGGAGAGAACATCTTAAGAGTTTACTTTCCCCTGAAGCTTATAGACTAGTCAGGGAAACCGACTGTAAGCCAATAATTATTCAATTACAGTTGTGCCAAGTACAATGAGAAAGCACAGAGGGACCTGTCCTGGGAGATGCAGGGGGCAAAGGAAGTTTTCCCTGAGGTGGTGACCTTCAGCTAAAGCCTGAAGAATAACAAGAAGGTGAGGGTAGGGAGTGAGGAAACAGTAGGTGCAAAGGCCCCAAGCAGAGAAAGAGCCTGGCACTGGTGAGGAACTAAAAGAAGGCCAGCATGACTGGCACATCCTGAGAGAGATGGTGGCACCAGATAAGACTGGAGAGTTGGGCAGAAAGGAGAAGAATAGGAGCCTTAGATTTAACTACAAATGATGATCGGCCAGTAAAGGGTTAATAGGATCATAGCATTCTCAGATTTATATTTAAGACATTGTTGTTCATTTGTTAACTCCGATTGCAGTGTGGGAAAAAGATTTAGGGAGAAAAGAGAAGATTAGGAATTAGAAGAGTATTGCAGTAAGTCAAGGCAAAAGGTAATGGTCTAATATAGTAGTGGCAATGATGACAGTGAGAAATGCACATTTTAGGAGGTAAAATGAGAGGTCTTAGTGATCCACTGATTGATTGATTGGATTGGGGGACACTAAAAAAAGCATTATCAAGGATGATACCTGGTTTGACTTGAGCAATTGTGTGAATGAGGTGCCATTTTCTAATGTGGGGAAAACTGGAGGAGATTTGTAGGGGTGGGGAAAAATTATAAATTTATCTTTGGCCCTGACTGGTGGGGCTCAGTGGTTTGGGCTTTGTCCCACAAAGCAAAAAGTCACCAGTTCAATTCCCAGGCAGGGCACATGCACAGGTTGCAGGCCAGGTCCCAGGTTAGGAAGTATGCATGTGAGAGGCCATGGATCAATGTGTCTCATATATCAATGTTTCTCTCTCATTCTCCCTCCTTTCCCTTGTCCCTAAAAATAAATAAAATCCTTCAGAAAATGTATCTTTGGACATGATGGGTTTCAGAAGATAAAACGTCAGATAGAAGTGTTCTGTAGACAATTAAAGGTTTTGGGGGTGTAAACAGAATGACAGGGCTGAGAATACAAGTCATGGATATAAGGATGTTAGGTGAAGCCAGAGGAGTCCATAAGCTTGCCTCAGAAGAGAGGGAGAAGAACAAAAGGCCCAGCACCAAACTGGAGAGGTAGAAGGGGAAACATGGAAAGTGAATCATTTCCTCGTTCAGGCTATTTCCAAGACTGTTAAATAAGGAAGTTAGACCAAAGTAACTTCTAAGTTTCCTTCTAGTTCCACAATTTTAGATTTCTGGAAGGTGGAAACCAAAAAGCTCTTTCTAGGGGCAGTGGGAATAAGAGAGAGAAAGGAGGACAAATTTTATGTACTCTTTTTTTCTTTTAAGATTTTATTTCTTTATTTAGAGAATGGGGATGGGAAGGAGAGAGAAAAAGAGAAAGGTCAATGTGTGGTTGCCTCTCTCATGCCCCTCCACTGGGGACCTGGCCCACAGCCCAGGCATGTGCCCTGATTGGGAACTGAACCAGCAACCCTTTGATTCACAGGCCCGAGCTCACTCCACTGAGCTACACCTGGCCTGCAACCCAGGAATGTGCCCTGACTGGGAATTGAACCGACAACCCTTTGTTTCACAGGCTGGTGCTCAATTCACTGAACCACACCAGCCAAGGCAGATTTTATGTACTCTTCAGGAACAGTAGATCTCATTGCCCATCACCCTCTTAGTAAGGCAGGGATAGGAGAGACCTTCTTTGAGAAATTCTTATACACTTCACACAACTGACGGTGTAAAAACTTATTTTTAAAGATTTCTCCTGGCTCTCTCTAGTCCATACAATGTACAAAGCTTTGCCATCTCTGGCCCTGTATATTTCTCACTGTGTACTTTGTGCTCCAGCCACAATGAATTTTTTTTCTCCAAATACACATTTTTTTTCTGGAACCCATAATTTTGTATATGCCGTTCTTTCTGCCTCAAATATCCTTGGCAATCTCCCCCACCCAACTTCTGATCGCAAGATCAGTGAACGTTTATTCTTCCCCCAAGCAGAAGGAGGGTGCTTGATTTTTTTGTTTGTCCATGATATTGGCATTATAGTAATTTATTTTGGTATATTAAATGTATCTGTTTACATCAATATTTCTTTTTGTTTTGCACGCCTTGGACTCAGTTGAGACTCTAATGAGAGTAGTAATGAATCTTCTCAGAAAAATGCATATACACCCAAATGTTTCCTTACAATCTTATTAAACACTGCTGCCCCAAACCCATCCATCCCATGGACCCAGCTTAAGATAATCA